TTCACGTTTGATTTATGAACTTTAATGCCTTCGATCGCTGCAGGCTCAAACTTGGCGTATGGGTTGACATGCGCATCTTCAGCCAGACTTCGGTTGGTCCTCTAGCTCTTCATTTTTGTCCTCCAGCTCCCGCTCGAGGTCGACAATGCGGTCCTGTCAGGGCATGCGGCTTCAGAAGCTTCTTCAGGATTCCTCAGCAAAAGATGCTTTGCACTCCTTGGCTATGGCCGCATCCTTGAAGAAGGTCCATCCAACCTGCTCATATGCACCAACTAAAGCACAAAGCCACAAAGCCTGAGACAGGTATCACCCAATACTGTCTCAAGGCGTCCGTAAGTTTACAGCACCATGCAGAGCTATATATGCCTCCACCATGCCACCCCATTTCGACGTCCGTCTAGTAACCGTTTCTTGTTCTATCCTTGGTTGCAATCGCCGGCACTCTTACCGCACAGGTCTTCAATGACTGCCATCTGCGAATGCACCAGGCCGCTACCAAACGTCACTGAGTGAGGGATTCCGGCGACGTGTGATGCTTCATTTGCTCTCCCTACCCTGGCGCCCGCTCGTGTTACGATGAAGCATGCAGAAGACACCAGACTCAAACCCAACAAGCTTACAGGCTTACAGGAAACGAGACTCTGCTATGGTTCCCCTCAAGTTTTGCGAAGGACTCCTGCTTCAGGTACTTGAGACAAACGCGTTCCATCTTGACCTGCCTTCACTAAGTACTGTTCCAAGCTGCGGCAGCGTCTTCCCACGAGAAAAACGCTTCTTCAGCACCTGCGCGAGAATCGCGCGAACCTCTTTGCTCCTAGTGCTCGCAAAACATGGTTCACAGGCTCCCGCAACTCACAGTCAGTGAGCCAAAGAGCCGGGTGGGCCAGAGGGGTTTAATGGGTTTGTAAGCTTCAGGGTTTACAGCGAAGTGAGAAGCAGCTATCCGCAATACAGAGAATGGGTTACCAGCTGCTTGCAGGCGTGTACCTGCAGCCCCTAAAGCGCCTCCATAGAAGCTGATCCCATGATGTCTTCGTCATCAACAGCTGCCTGTCAAATTTTGCCAGTTCTACAGGAGGAGACCTCAAATAAGAATATCAACAAGAACAATAGTAGTAGTCGTAATAACCGTATCCTTTCACCAAATATTACACCACCCCTAATCTCAAACATGGCTTCCTCAGAATTCCAAAGTCTGAAATCGGACCCCAAACTACTTGTAAAAAGGGCCAGGACTAAACTTAATTACGGCTCAGATCCTCTTCTTTACAAGAATGCTTCTCTTAATAAGGGGGTCCCTCACACGACTCTTCAGGATTAGGGATCTCCTTGATGAATTTATGTAGAATAATGTAGAAAATGACTGCGATTTTTAGCTGGGTCTAGAGCGAGTCTAAATCGTTCTTAATTAGTTTGTGAGTAGATGTTGATTAAATTGCAACTGAGTTTCACCGATAATTCTAGATGTTGATTAGATTTTGATTAGCTTTTACTTCTAGTCAAATGTTTACTGGGTTTGATTACGATGTTAAATTGATCTTAGATAGGATTTATTTAAATGCTCGTTAGATTTCAACTGCCTTTAGATTTGCTTTAACTGATTTCATTACCGTTCTATTACGATTTTGATGAGATGTAATCGATTTTCATTCGATTTTGGTTGGATTTCCAAAGGATCCTATTACATAAGCCCCCCCCCCTAATATTCCAGTCCCGCGATAAGTACCGCCTAATATTAAACACAGGTCCGGGGACGACGTTTAATACTAGGGGGAAAGAATTAAGAACATTTGTAAACTCCTAAACCCTTAACCCTATATAACCCATCATAGTAGTTTCTATTTTCTTTTCCGTTATTTCCCATATAACCCCCATATAACCCCACTATACCCCTAATAGTACCCAACCAATAGCGTCTCAAGCCCCTAAGCCACCACCTGGTCAAGCTCATCACCATCTGCCTCGACAGCGTTGGCCTGGGATGACACACATGGGGGGGTTTCCCAAAATTAGGGGTCCCTTGAAAAGGAGATATAGGGTCATGTAGGAGTTACATTATGGTTTTTGTTTTTGTTTTAAGCGCCCCTTTTATCCTCTGCTTCCAGTCCGATAAAGCTCAGTAAGAGCGGGCGAGTCTCAGCTGGTACAGCAAACTTGGCCCCTCATGACGGACTCACAGCTCTTCACGAGCAATGCGCTGAGTTTGGAAAGCATCCAGCACATTATGGGGTTTAGGGTTTTGGGTTTCCCAAAATTATGGATCCCTTTTTGGGTCCCGATAATAAGGATTATAGCATCTTGGGGTCTCTACTGGGGTCCCCGTATTGTTGGGAAACTACCACATTCTGTTTTCCGTGATCAAGCCTGGGCAGCTTTGTCCAGGCTGCTAAACCCCATGAAAAGCGCATTTCATGTACTGCACTGCTGTCGCTGCAATGTAGTTGGGAGACATAATAGTTTCCCAAAATAACGGAACCCCAATATAGACCCCAAAATACTATACTGTAATCCTTATTAAATTATGGGGACCCTGAAAAAAGGTACGCTCAATTTTAGGAAACTCCCACATCAGTATGAGGCGCCTCTGTTGCCAGCGCAGGCACCGGGATGCTGATGGTAGCGGCAACCGCTGCTTCATCTTCCATCTATGCAAATCGCAATTCCAACTCGCTTCCGTTGCCTGCACTACTTGTTGTCCTCTTTACCAAAGAGTTGATGTCTTGCTCTTTGCCGGGCCAGTCAAACCTACTCATTTCAATCACACCCTATGTTCTGAAGGATGCCACTAATTCAGCGCAATAAGCCAACGTCAGGGATCAATCACACAAGAGCATTGGACGTCCTTGCTTTCCGCTGATGCAGCAATCTAGGCGCATGGTGACCCAAAACTCCCGTCTGCGCGCCGTCTTGGTGTACGAAGATATTTGCTCAGCCTGGCCAGGCTGGCAACAAAGGCCAGAGTGCGGACTCCAGTACTGGCCAGGCCTTTCTATTCCAGACTGTCACACAACCTTGGCAAGCATCTTGTCAAGTGCTCCCGTACAAGCAAAACAGACCCGGCCCCCTTTTGAGGCCTCGACCTCGGTTGTCAATTCCAAAGATTGGTGCATTTGCAGTCTCAATGAGGCTCCGGAGATCATCCGCCACCAGTTCGTGCCTGCTGCTTGAACAAACAGCGCCGGCAAGCATTGACATTGCGAAGGGTCAGTGAAGATGTACTAGCAGTACATGTTAAAGACACCTGGAGTTCTTGGACCCATGCTGTGTCCCCCTAAGCGGAAAACAAGACCACGACATGCTGAACCGGGGCCCAAGCTGTCTCATCAAGTCACGATACTCGGTGATGTCCTCACTGCACGTTGCAGACACGCATATTCATCGATTTCTGAGAAATACTTTGTAGCCTCGTATGTCATTGCACTTTCACAGAAAGAAGCTGTGAGGGAAATTCTCATGACAGTTAGGAATTCATTGTGCAAGTCCCCGCAGATTGGTAGAAACATCGCTGAAAGGTTTTAGGGACAGCCTAAGCCTGCAGTCCCCAATTGTTAGCAATCTCAGCAGTGACATTGACAGCAGTAGCAAAACAACTGACCCTTGAGGATGATGCAGATTGCCCTGGGCATGGCTTGACACAACGTGGGTGCCAAATGGGGACATCTATCTGCTTACACCGCTGGAAATTAATTTGCATAAGCTTCTGTTACTATATAGCCTATGCCCAGTTTGCATCACCCTGCCGCAGAACGTAAGGTGTGTGTGTGAGGAGCTGCGTGCCTGGCCAACGCAAATAACACCTGTGATGTTGCCCTCGCTGCTGTACTTGGCGGACGCCTGGGGTTGCTTGTGGCTCTTGGGCTCTTTCAAGAAGCAAGTCTGGATGGCATGAGTGCACGCAGAGACACAGCATGGAAAAGCAAGTGCTCGAACTCTTGCGTGATCTGGGGTCCAGGCATTCAGGAGGATGAAACGTCCAACCCCATCCTACCCACACATCAGCTTGTCAGATCACATTCGCTGGGACGAGGTTCCTCGACTCAAGGAATGCAAGCAGTGGCCCTCGCTGCATCAACTATCTGCCACGCCACTCCGACCCTGCTAGGCCATTTCTTCGCCTTAACTAGATTCCCCCTAAATGCGCGGAACACTTCTTCCATAATTGGCCGCGCCTAGGGGTAGCGCAGTACTTCATTTTTTGAGCATGCCCCCACAATATAATGAACACAACCATGAACCAAAGCCCTATGACTTTACACGCCCATGGCTTTGAGCACTGAAGAGCTAATTTGGGTGCACAGAAGACATCTGGGCGCTCATCTGAAGGAAGAACACTTATATGGTAGTTTCCATTTAATTGTCCACGGTCTTTTCCATTTGATATTCCATTAGCGGGGTAATATCCCTATATACCCCTTAAAAGGGACCTAATTTCATGTTCCATGTTCTTTTCCATTTGATTTTCCATTAGTTGGGTAATATCCCTATACCCCTGGCTTCTGGCCTTGCCACCAAGATGTATTGTAACCTGCTCTGCCGACTCACCTTCCCAGAGAAGGGCTGCAAGGCGGAGCATCAAAAAGCTTTTTGCTAGTGCATGGCACGGGAAACTGTGGTGGACACAAGGCCTTCAAGTGCCTGTCGAAGAACAGTCCGAACTTCATCCTGTCTCGCCTCAATCCAAGGCTGGCTGGGCATGGGGACATGGGCACCAAAATCAGCAGCCTGTCAGCAACACAGATGACACCTATTCAGGTTTCTACCACCACCAGCAGTGAAGCTACAAGGCCAAACTTCAGCCGGACAGCTGCAACGAAAGTGTCCACCATATTCTTGCCCAGAGCCTGCGCTTGGCTGGGGCTGGCTACTGTGCTTCTGGTTTGTATGTGTTTGCAAGATTACAACTTCCCTCAGCAGGTCTGTCAACAGCACTTTTGTCGATGGTGCGCGGCTATGTCAGGCAGGCAATGTTACATCGACATATGCATATCCGATTCTGCAGATTAGCCACAGAACATGGTTCCCTCCAGCGTAGTAACTGCAGGGCCGGAAAGCGTTACTCGACCAGCGGCGGTTTGCACCACGCACTTGACAATGCCTCCTCGAGGCGAAGCCTGAAACCCGACGACGACAGCAGCGCCATCTTTTTCTCGCCCAAGCTTTTGCATCCAGTAGGGGGCCAGCATGCAGTGCGCTGAACCTGTCACAGGATCCTCAGGGATTCCAGCACGTGGGCCGAAGAAGCGGGACCTGAAGTCCACCACCAGGCCACCAGCTGCTGCCTCAGTAGAGAATTCATCCGGGAAACCTAAGATTGAAACCTTTGAAAAGTTGCAAGAAATAAAAATCAAACAGCAGCCACCTTGATAAGATTGTTCCTATGGCGAGCTGCCTCGGCACGCTGGGCATCAGAGCCTCCGCAGCCTTGCGTTGTCACGCAGACGCCCCGGCATTCGAACTGCGCAAGGGCGCCTTGATCTGGCTTTATCTGATCAAATGCAGCGGGCGATAGCTCCACCAGGATGTCAAATTTGCCACGGCCAGTGGCAAGAACATCAGATCCACTGGCAAGCCCGAGTGCCTTGCCCAGCGCCTCTGCCGTTGGAAGCGAGCTTGAGGAATTGGCCATTTCAGGCACATCAGCCGGGAAATCCATTTCAATCCAGCCGCTCTTGGACAGCGTGCAGCTCAAAGTCCCTGAGACCTTCGTACTGAAATCAATTCGCCGCCGTTTACTTGCACGGCCAGTGCTCCAGAGCGCATGGGCGGCACCCAGCGTCGCCTGTCACATAATTTTTCCAGCACATTCACACATGCCCTTCACCAGTGGTGAGACGAATTAGATCGGCTATCTTAGGCTATGTTGGTCTCCAAGTTGCGTGGCCGCACAAGTCCACCTCGCAAGTCGGAGTGAACCAGCGCAAGGCGTAGCGGCACGGCTCCTCACAAAGAAGGCCCGGGACATCCCGGGACCTATCGCCCAAAGAAAACATGCCTACAGATGTGTCTAATAGGCTCTCATTAGCAGCGGAAAGACTTGTAACAATATCGATCCGGGGAAGTATGCTGAGCGGAGCGACGCTGGCGTGGAGCTTTACGCAGGTCACAATCGATGCGCATGGTCCTCTGTTGGCTCAGACGTGCTTTCCAGCAGCTCCACAAACGCGGTCTCGGCTAAATTGTTTTCCGTTGCCACCTGCAGGTCCAACGTTGCAAGCTGGTATAAGGAGCTTGGCAAGACGCTAGCGTTCCCCATGGCCCCTGCCCCACAACAAGGCGGACACATACGGACATCTTCCAACCCTCTGCCAACCCTACTCTAGCACCTACTGAATGATGACACTTTCGCACCTTCTGCATCCATGCTGCGTCCCCACTGCGGTGCGAAAACACAACGGCAGCTGAATTGCCACTGCACGGTATGGCAGAAAAAGCATCGCACCTTGCCAAGCAGCTGCGGTTCACAGCGGGCTGCAGGCAATGAGACACATGGTGACTCTCACTGTATGCATGACGTATATCAGGCTGCAAAGAAAAAGCTGCCTCCAAGGCACTGAACCATAGGTTCGCCACATGCTTCACGAACAATGTCCGGCACCTGCACATTAAACGTTGCGCGGCATGGCTTGTGGCTAATGGAATGACCTTTGGACTTCCGTCGTGCTACTAGGCTTGGCACAGACACTTTCAGCCAGAGATTTTACAAAGCCGACATTCCACATCAAGAATGATCCACTGCTACTGGGAATGTGTCCAATGAGATGGAAGATCCATCGGGTGGTTCTGAAAGTCATGGGTCCATTTTGGGGGCTCCCTTTTCTGGTGGAATTTGTTGATTTGTGGCGGCTGTCAAAGCCAACCTACTTTTGTGAACTGCAAATTGCACCTGAAGCTCGAACCAAGGATCGGCACCATGCCTTGGCTCAACACTCTTAGAGTTGTGGGCGCCTTGTGTGGGGCCTTCATGAGGAGCTGGTTCTTTGAGGCGTGCAGGGTACCGTGGAACAACACAAGGCCGGTCTAAGCAATCCACAGCTGGAACTTACTGCAACCTGGGCCACACAACAGGCGAAAGCCCAATCAGCCGAAAGCCAGCTTGCCTAAGCAGGCAGAGGAATGAGGGCTCAGACACGTGCATCGCACAGCAGCGCAGGCACAGCATGAGGGTTTAGGGTTTAGGGTAGCCGGTTTCTGTGGCAAGTCGTGTGATTACTACCTCCTCGGATACTACACGCCGCCCCCCGTTTTCAATGCAAGGTCGCAACTTGCTGTATGATACCGAGTGAACACTAACTTAGTCTCATGATAAGCATGAAAGCAACCACCCCGCTCATCAAGGAGCTGCCCTATGGATCCCCTGACATAGTGGGACAAGCAGAACTCGTGAGCACCCCTCTGCCACAAAAAAACCTGCCTCACACCAAACGAGCACAAGCCAGCACTCAAACTTCCCCACAGAGCCCATCTCACGCCTACCGCAAGCTAAGAGAACTATCAGGCTACCTTTGCGGCCTGACCTTACGTGAGAGAAAACGGCCCAGTAGAATTCCTGCTGTATTAGAGCCCGAAAATCTGTCAGCATCTGTGGTTTCCTGAGCTGGTCGATGACCTGCCACAGTGTCCCCCATAAAACCCTCGAGGGTATTTTACACATTCGTCCAACAGTTCCTGTTGAAGCAAACGTTTCACCTAATCAACGATATCTTATTTCTGGATGTCGACCCCCTAATTCCTTATGGATTTCCCCGCCCCTGCTCCTTTGAAAAATATTCTGGCCCTTCTGAAAAAGTCTTCGTGCAGCACAGGCTCACGTACAGAGAAACCAGACCGGCTTTAGCAATAAGCGTGCAGGCACGCGGAGGCGAGGAGCCTGCCACAAACTGCCACACAACACTTGCAGTGCGACACACAACCCAACAAGCAAGAATCACATACCCGATCATCCCTAAATAACCCCCATATAACCCCTATAAGTCCTATAGTTTCCATTTATTTTCCATTATCCCAGTATATCTGCTGCTGGCCTCCGTTTGTAGCTGCATGCAAGGATGCAACAGCCCTCAGGTACTCGCGCATCATAGCTAAGGCAATTCCTGCACACCGTGTCCCCACATGACTCCAGGCAGCAACTGGCCTTCTGGGATTTTGGGAGTTAAAGGAAGCAAAAATGTAGGGGCCTCACTATAAGGGTAATATCAGCCATTGTCTACACTCCTAGTATCCCCCTTAATAACCCCTATAGTAGTCCTTTATATAACCCCTTATATAACCCCTCTAAGGGGTTTAGATTATGTCTCATATAGGGTTATATAGGGGTAGCTCTAGGGGTTATATAGGGAGGCTCGGGCTGCGGGCTCTCAAGGCTGGATTCATGGGACCCCCAAAACCCTCTGCAAGTTTCATTGCCCTTAAACAGCACCAGGTGACAAAAGAAATAAATGCCTTCTGCAGCCTTCATATCGAGGAAACAGGACTGGTGTATAAGGCTATAAGGCATTGGGAGTTCATACTCTCTGCCCAGCCCGGGATGGGTCCTCGTCTGCGCAGCTTCAACTGGACCGCCACCGAATGAATACACAGCAGCTCACCTCCGCAGTCAAGATACGATGGGAGGCCGCAACAGGCACCCGTTTGCAGAATGTGGATGCTGCAAAACCAGGAGGACCTCCTGCCTCCTTCAATGTGCTTCTCCATGGATTCCTAAGGAAAGAAGCAGAATCCTTTGAGGGAAGGTAAGGGACCTTCAAAGATCACAGGCAAAAGGGAGATGTGCGAGGTAGCAGGACGGAGGGCATAAAGGTGAATGACGTTTCGGAACGTGCAGTTCCTGACCTAACGTAAGAGGTTTGTTCCTCCACACCAACTGCTTGCGAGGGGCATGCGTCAGAGAAGTTCCAGCCGCACAGGTTCCGCAGATAAAGCCGACCAAAGATCCGTCGCTCTTCTCCTGGGCTTGGTGCCAACGGAAGCTTTTGCCGTGCTGATCAACACGCCCGACCATCTGTGGAAACACCCATCCGAACAGCTTGGGCACGAAAGCGCCCCAAAAGTAGTCCTTGGCAACTCTCACGAATAGGAATGGCTACGTGCTGCTATGAAGCTTGCCCCACGCTGAGCATTCTTCTGACACTTGGGGCCTGCCCTGCTGCCTTTTCCCTTGAACCAACATATTGGGATAATGGAAAATCAAATAGTATATTGGGGTTTATAGGGATAATGAAAAAGAAAATGGAAGCTACCATAGTATAATGGGATGCAAAGGTATAGCTACCTTGCCAAGTCCGGCACATTCGCCACGCGCTGTCTCAAAGCGAGATTCTCCGGGGATGCAGCCTCAATATCAGTGCTTGCTTCCATGGTGTCTATCATGGACTCGAAATGTGTGGATGTCACAATGTAGTGTGACAGTATGGTCAATATGGCCTTCTGATGAGAGCTGCCAGTCATGCAAGTCAGTTCCGTGCCTCATCTGCTGGATATGACGCAGCTTCGAGGGAGCTGCAGGCTTCCAAATCCTCACGCAAGGGATGGCACAACCCAAATACTCTCTGTACGCAGAATGCAGTAAAAACTGCTGGTGCTATTTCTGACATACTGCACTCCTACTGCATACGTGGCTTACATCAAAGTGCCATCTGCTTTACAAGTTGGCTCCTCCTGCCGCACGCGGCGAAAAACAAGCGCCGCCGAGGGCCATTTTGGCAGCGGCCCAATTTCTCGGTCCATGCTGGGGAATGAGAAGGTTGCCTTGATTCTGCTTGTGGTATGTTTTCGGAAGTTGCCATGGGTAAGTTTTTGCTCAGCCAGGACTTACTGAACTTTTAAAGAGATTTCAATGAGGGTCTTAGACGTCGATGGCAGCTCGTCGAAGTCACAGGCAGGTCGACTCTAGCAAGGGAGGTCAAGTCGAAATGATGTGTTTAAAGGTTTAGAGCTTAGAGGTTTAGGGTTTAGGGTAGTTTCCAATATAGCGGGGGCCCATAATAGACTCCAATATGCTATAATCCTTATTATGGAGACCCGCAAAAAAGTAGCCCGAATTTTTGGAAACCGCCATGTCCACAAGACGCTTCCTGGCAAGTGCACAGATGTTTTTTTGCGCCAGGGTTTGCTTGGAAATACTGGCGGAAAACCCACTTCCTGGTTTCAAGAGTCTTGATAAGCTGTTGGGTCTCCAGGAATGGGACTGTTTGAACTAGTCATGTCACTGCAAATCTCGGAGGAGTGTTGACTCGAAGCCCAGGAAGCCAGATTAACAAGGCCCAGCAAGGAGCGTGCATCTCCTGTACAGGCACGCCTCAAAACACTGCTTCTTGCACCTGCTGCACAAATGCTTAGACGGGCCCACCTCTCAGGGAGGATCACGGCACATGTGTTGCACACATGCCCACAGCCCGCGGCATCACATCTTTCGTGCTGCTAGGAACTAGAAGCCAGCATGGCCTTTAAGTGCGGCAAGGCGGATCAACCTATGAACCTACCAGCCCAGGTCAGCAGGAAGCTGAAAACCGGAGGGTGCCTACAGAGAACTGCATAACGTCTATGTACAGCTGTCGCAGATCAGTCTGACAGGGAAATCCGAAGCCGAGATCGCTTCTCGGGCGGCTCACCCTCTTTTGAGGCAGTGCTCCTGTGCAACTGCCATCAACGTTTGCGATGGTCTGACGGGTAGGAATAGTCCGTCTCTCAAAGCTTCTCAAGTTCTAGGGGGTTCGCGCGAAAATGCCATCCGACTGCTGGAAAGCGCGTAACTAGTGGCTTCGTTGCTTCTGAGCGGCTCGCCAAGCTCTGCGGCTGTTTTGGCCTGCTGGCAAATCTGGATGACGCCCGGGCAACCCTGAATGAGCTCAACACCCTCGCGCCGCCTAGTACTTGCTTGCTGCAAGCAGAACATGGCAGAACAGTCGGGAACGGTTTCATGGACAGTTGTTACATTTTACGGTGATGTCCGGACCTGCCTCAGCCTTTGACTGGAGGCTGCGCGCCTCCTCCAACTGCATCTCCTGGAGTTGATTTGATTCAAGGATATTGAAGGTCATGGGCAAGAGGTAAGCTGATGTAAGCACGTGTCCTTCAAGGCCTCTGGGCTTAGCACAGACGCTCCGATGCCTTTCTTCTCTTCCTGATCGGCTTGGCAGAAGAAGGGCTAGCTTTGACCAAGTCTATCCCAGCTGTGTTCCGTGAACGGGGCGACAAGTCAAACTGGCGCAGGACTTGCTGGCCCCTTCTGCCGGGACACGTAGGGTTGCGACATCTGCAGCAAGAAATTTTGCGCAGCTTCGACTGCAACGTCAATGGCCATGGCGACGTGGCCTGGATCCAGGAAGTTGCGGATCCTCAGAACATGCAAAGGTATTTCAGTAAGTGCCCGGAGTCAAACGAAATACAGTTTCAGATGGAACTCAGCTGAGCCTTTCAAGTCTTGATAACAAGAACCTTCTTAGAGCAGTCTTGCAGGAGTAGTTACTAGCCAAGCGTCCAGTCTGGGATTTTGGACCGCTTGTCACGCCGAGCATACCGCTGGTCAGCAAAGATCATGACTCCATAGTCGCCTCAGCATCCACTCAGATCTCTGCAATGTATGTAGCATGAGCTAAGAAACTAGAGCCTGTATCAAGCTGTCGTTAGGCAGGCCGCGTTTGGAACGAATGACTCGTCCAAGGCATTGGGAGGCCTGCCTCATCGCGTCAAAGTTGAGAAATTCCGACTCCTGGAGTGCAGGGCTCAGCTCAATGGTTTGCGGTGAGGTGGAGCCCGCGAGGAGAAATCCTTGCTGGGGATGGAAAGCCGCTCTGTCTTTGTCGACATACTTCCTGAAGAACTCCACCGTTTATGTTTCAAAACCGAACTTGCGGTGGCTGAAACAAGCCCTTTGTAGCCTGTTGCTTGGGGCCACCTGGCGTCTATGCATTTGAACAGGTTTTGTTGGCAGGTTTCCCTCGCGCTTGTCCACTGACAGAAACCTTAGTCTTTCCAGTCTTCAATTCTTTCAACCTTGCCAGTCTGTTTCCCTCCCAGCTCTCCACCAGCCCCAGCTTTCAGCATGGCGGCCGGGTTGGAAGGTCTTCAACTTACTGAGGGCCAGTAGGGGTTCAGGGAATATATCATATAGTCATATAGGTAATATAGGCATTATATAGGTAATATGGGGGTTATTCGGAAATTATATTCCCACGTTGCCAAGTAAGGCTGCAAGACTGGAAGTCTCTGGTTAGCGCTTTGAACGGGGCATGGATCCGGGCTGGAGATCTCCCACAGACCGAGATGCTCTATGGTCTAAACTGCTTTTAGGGTGTTTACCAGGAGATAATATGTAGGGGTTACTGAGGGGGATACTAGGAGTTTAGACTATAGCTCACATGGTCCCTGGTAACCTTGCGAGGCCCTCCCCAGCTGTAATCCAACTTTTGGGGCCTTCTCCCTGGCTCCAGGACACCCTTCCAAACTCGTCTGGTTTTGGGGCCCTGGGCTCTGGGTTGAGCTGCTTGGTCTCTCAGTTGATCTGAAGGAATGCTGAAGGTTGCAAGGCTCGAAAGAGGGTTGGGGCAAAGCTTGGCCGCAACTGTTCAACATACATATTCTTACAGGCTTGTTGCACCACCTCCCTTGGCTGCCCTTCCCATATATAAATATGCCTAGGGCCTAGAGGATTTGTTTAAGAGTCATCGCTTCTCAAGCTGGAGGCTGTATCTACGTCTTGACTCCAGACACCTGACCAAGCACTTCTACAGATTGGCATGGTCGAGAAGTTTCAAAGCCCGTGCGCCTTGATGTCATAATGCTGGCGAAGAAACTCTAGCCTCCAAATGCAACATAAGCAAGGCGGGTGCATAGGCATAGACGACACGGCCAATGACGGTAGAAAATGAATGCCGTCAGCAGCAGTGCCCTGATCATACCACAGGCTGTGGAACTGATGAGAACAATGTCTGGGAGGTGTGGCCTTGCCCGCAATTCTCGAGACAGCGTGTATTGAAAAGGAACCTGAGTTGAAACATGCCCATATGCCCGGCATTGCAAGTGCGACTCATCACGGCCACTGCGGCGCTGAATCAATTACTTAAAGCTGCGGCGCTCCTACCCCATCAGCATCTGCAGTAGCCAAGCGGCTCCAAATAAAACGACGCAACGGCCGTAGTGTCGATCAAAGTCAATGCCCTCAGCCACCTGCCATGGCGAAGATGGATCTGCCAAACACAACTTGAGTACTTTCCCATACTTTCCCGAGCCTTCCCGCGAGCGACACTGAGGAAGACAGCTCCCTGCCCAGAGTCGCAAGCCTGGCTGCACTGAATCATGGCCATGAATTTGGGATGTTGCCAGCGAATCTCTTGCAGGCAGCTTGGACTCAAACACGGTCAGAAAACTGCACTCAAGTTGTCACAGCCGCATCCAATGCCTGACGGTAGAGGTTGAGCGCGTACGTGGTGGCGACGACGTCCTCAGTGATTCAAATCTGTTCTGCAAAGGCAGCAGGAAAGGCAGCAACTACAAATTGTAGTTATAACCCAATTACATCTAGGGTAACTATAATTATGGGACTTATATTTAGGTTATAACTACAGTTACTAAGTAGGTTATAAGTACAATGGACACCACACAAGAGCTGAGGATCCCTCCCACCAGACCGTTGGTAAGAGAATTCAAAGAAGCGTCAAAGAACAACAGCATTGGTATTCTTACCCGATACTCAACCCTAAACCCTAAATAGTCGCTTCCATTGTATTTTCGATTATTCCTATTCCTAACTCCAATATAATATAGTAGTTTCCATTGTATAATTACCCTATACTATCCCTATATTATCCCAATATTAATGCAACTGTGGACGGACTGCAGCCCTCAGCCCAGCAGCCACTGTCTCGATGAAGACCAGCTTGTGTTTCAACACTCTGGTAATGACACCTGTGCACGCGGCTGGTGCTTTCAAGGCCACATCAGAGAGCAGGCTAAGATCGCCTACTTCATTAAGCAAGCCGAACTTCCTCAGCCTTGGAACCGAACAAGTCTTGTCATCGTAGCAATGCATTACGCCATCCCGATACTGAAACACCTGACACTGCCAGGCACATCGCCTGTTTCGTACCACTTCTCGAGCACTTGTTCCAAGTACCGGTACGATGTGAAAAAGCAAACCTCGAGGCAGCTTGGAAGATTATGAACGAACTTGTAGGTCCCTCTTCTCTGGCGATGATGGTCCACCTCATGCCAAGGTGCGACCCCATCAGGTACTGTCTTGACAAGCTCCTCGAGGAGGTTTCCGTAAGCCATGACAACGCTTGGATCCTCCATGCCATTCCACGTCAAAAGCTGCACAGCTACCCGGCTGGCCCAACGCTGATACTGCCACGCTTCCCTGTCCAAGAACACACTCTGTCCTCTCTCATGCTGAAGCGTGATGAGATCGGCACCTGTGCTGGAGATGGATCTCCCAGAGGCAAAGATGTCCACGCAACCCAGCGTGGCGTGCCATGAGTGCAACCCGCCTGGTCCACGCCATGCGTCACAATCAGCGGGCACAAGCACTTTCTTTCCATGGTAATGGAGAAGGACTCTGTGGCCACCACGTTTGACATGCCCAGGATCCTGAGCAAATGTCAGGAGTTGGAACGGTGGAGGTCCCATGATTGCGAGCACCCCAAAAAGCGCAAAGCCACTCTGAAGCATCCAGAAGGCAAGGGCTTGCAAATAAGCAGTCAACTAGAAACCGTCATTGAACCATATCTTTACTCGACGACGACGATCAGCGTGCCTGGCTCCTCATGTAGGAAACCTTCTAGCAGCATGCTTTGTGAGTTGTCAAAGGTGTGCTGTGCGCGCTTATGGCACTGAGAAACCACGGAGTGCTCACAATCTGTGCGTGTGCTTGAGCTCTGCCAGTCCCTGGCCGAGGGTGATCCTACCCTGGCAATGAAAAACCAGAGACACTATCAAAATCTGTGAAGCCAGCTAGCTGCACAGCCCAGCGTCTTTGGATACATCTCGAGAGGAGAGATCGTACCAGACGTTAGGACAACGGATTGGTACCGCTTTAGCAGAGGTTTCATGGCGATGGAGGCATCCAAGCACCGCAGAATCAGCGTAGGATCATAGATGCCTGCTTCAGCAACTGTCAGTGCCATCGTTGTTTTTAACTTGCAAATAACTTCAAAGCTAGAAGAACACCTGTCTAGTTCGCATTTGTCATGGCATGGAAACAGCAAATGATATGTTCGACTCTGAACACGCACACAGACCATGTCTGTAAAGACACATCATCCGAGCGAATCCTGTCAGATTCTCTTTCGACTGATCAGCCCTGCGCGGCACTCACCGGATATCTGAGATCTATGCCAATTAAATTAAACTGTTGGAAGGAACGACCACTAACCAAATGGTTGCTGATCCGCCTTGTGCTTCGGGATATGGGTCGACGATGATGCTGAAACCCTGCGAATATGTGCCCAGTAGTGTGACAAAATCTGCCACTTTTGTCACCGGGGTGAACTCATCCAAATTCGCCACCTGCAGCGTGTTCAGCCTCAGGCCGCACAAACATGGCTAATTGCTACCTGTTACAATACCTCGCACGCATTAGAGCCAAGTAGTTGCTAGTTAAAGTAAAACGCCAGCTCAACCGCCAACTAGCACTCGAACTGCGCTGAGGAACAAAGATCGCAAACGTTCGTGGCAGAACTTCAGTGACTTGGAGTCCACCTCCTTAGCGAAAATGGTAACATTCCGCACAATGCGATACAGACAGCCAGCCGCAGCCCTAACAACTAGCAGAAACGCAGCCCTAACAACTAGCAGAAAACCATCATTACTACGATATTACCACTGATCTTCCTGCTATTAATGTTTTAGGAGCAAAGGAGAGAAAAAGGCAAGCGGAGTTCCTCCATCAAGAATCAGGAGTTTTCCCTTCAGACTGAAGCATGCTGTGACATCATGTGTCAACAACGTAGCCTTTTAGCTCCGCATCACGCCTTGCATTTAGAGGCCTGCCGCATTCTGAGGCTATCTTCAGCGGATTCCCTCATAATTAATGCCGCAGTGAGTCCGCATCTTCCTCCATCTTGTGCGTAACCTGGGCAGCAACCACGTCTGGGAGATATATGCTGAACCCCAAGATTACCGGAGGTATGCGATGCGTGAAGCACAGCTTGCAACTGGCAATATCTGCGAATGAGCAGCAGAGAGTGGGCCCTCGCACTGCGCGCGGTCCACATGTAGATAGCGTCGGAAGAAGTTTACCAAACCTGAGTGGCAGGATGTTTCCGTCTCAGTCCCGAGTGGAAGCAAAAACGCATGGCATCAAGCAAGCCGGCTGATTGAAATTCGAAACCCCAAACCGACCGTGTCAAGGTGCGGCGCAGTAGTGCGATGAAATGCTCTGCGCGGCGAATGTTCCTTACACAATGCTTGGTATCAACACGCCGCGTGGATACCCTGAAGGCTGCCATTACGCTTCGGGCACGTGGCCGGGGGAATTGGAGCCCAGCTTCCCTGGGATGGCCTCGCTGACAAGGTCTTCGGGCAAGACAGGGCTTTGCAGCTGGTCCGCCATGGCTTCGTCAATCCTCGCCATGGTGTTTGTGTCACCAAGGCAGCTCTGCATCCAAATCAAACATAAGCTAGAGGATCTAGCCGAGGGACTGGCCAGCTTGCCTTAAACCCTGAACGAGGCGCTTGTATTCCTGTCAAAGGGGGCAGTGCATAATCTGTGAATGGGGTGCCTTGCAACATGGCGTGGTGATTCGAGGCTCTTTGCACTGCTCGGGCCTCTTGAAGTCGGGACGCATCCTCGCGCTTTACACGGTCGACCTCGTTGCCGAGCCTCCCAACCATTCAGAGAATTGAGCGTACATCAAGACCAGCCCTGCACAGCAAACAGCGCAGTCGGCTGGATCTATCACCTGTCGAAGCCAGCTTACTACGGAAGCTACCTCCCTTTGATCCGGGTTGCACTGACCAAGCGACACAACATAGTTATACCTTCCCCAGAGTATACTTTTCTGACGCAATCCGTGCGGAGGACAAGGCGTGTGACGGAAGCTAACTAACAGAAGCAGAAACAGCCCGTTAACAAACGCATGGATTCAATTCCGTTGACATTCTTTCCCAACTGCCTACAACTCACATAACGCAAGCTCTGCTAGGACCGGCAGGGAAATTGTCGAAATGTATCGCTGCATACTGCAACCGGATACTGGCGTGATTGGCTGTAATAAGATGATGAAGCTTTCACTTTCAAGTCCCCGCGTGCGCGCAAGTTCTGGCCCTGCATGCATGCATGCCTGCCTCGTGAGATTGCCAAAGGACTGGTCCAGCCTGGCTGAAAGAACAGATGGCTGCCCCCAGCTTGGCTGAGATTGTCAGGACTTCAGCCTGCGTGCCTCTGTCGGTTCAACTTGACACTGAGCGCTTCGATGCAAACGTCGTCAATGTTGTGGGCCTGAAAGAAAGTGCCCTATCAAAGCTGGAATTTGCTCTATCCTAGCATTTCATTGAGCTGAGCACTATCTCAAGATACTGCACAACCGCAGCTGTCAACCTGTTTCTTCTCTGCGCGTCGTGGACATGTACCACTCCAAGCCATGAAACACGTTGGAAAATTGTCGGAACAAGATGAAAAAGTCTTCGGCAGCTCTCAGCGGCTACGCGTTGCCTGAAAAAGTAAGGAGCAAAGCTGCTTGCCTGTGGATAGCAAGCGGCGCACCGGGCGCAGCGCAACCGATCACAGACACGCCGAGTGCCCCCAGTGCTGCAGCACCACTGGCCGCCACAGCAGCTGCCCCATCCTTTGGAGATATGCCCCTACCACCTGCCAGCGCAAGAGCCATCACCGGTGGTCCCTGGCATTGGGATATCAAACGTTGCCAGGTCGAGGCTGCAGGCGCTACCCGAAAGCACTGGCACATACGCAGAGCTCCAGTTGGCATCAGACCTTCTGCTATGGGATCACCTCCCGCCAGCATTGCCGCACCCGACTTCGAAACACCAACCCAGTTGAACAATGACCAGTTGGCTGCCTGGCTACCAGTTCCCTGATTAGGACGCGAGAGGCCCAAAAGCATCTCCTTGGGCCCTGAAATCTTGTTTTCTTGCATAACCGTTTTTAGTGCTGCGGCGGCTGGAATTCCCACTCGCCGTGGAATGCCCGCAGTTCCTTTCTCCGTCTCGGCAACGTCACGGTAGTCACCTTGCTGATCCGTTCCGATCTGCACTATAGCTGGAGGCTTCCCTCGCTGCACATCAGCTTCGAAGATCTCTAGTTCTCCCCCCACTGATGCACACCCGACTAGATCCATCATACAAGATGCAGCAAAGGGGAGCAGCAGACCCGCGAAGCCACTGACTGCTTTGCCGTTCACCCAAAGAGCCGGATCTCCGGGCTGTTCTGGCGGCGCCGCCATCATCCCAGCCTTCACTGATGTTGGCCACTTCTTGTCTATGGTCCCAAGTGTTCGTGCCAGGCCAGGTGGGGAAATGGCCGGGTCCCCCAGCAAGAAGATGCAGCCAGAAGTGCTGCCCAGCTTCTGCAGGTCTGCATCCAACGTATCCGGAGTCAGGGAAAAAGCCTCTGCCACAAGTCCGGGCTTCATATCCATAATACCAAGCTGCAACGTCTGACCGCCTGATGTGCAAGCCACAACCTGAACCGCTGCCCCAAGGCCTGAGCCAACAAGCTGAATAATGCTGGCTGCTGACTTTGATAACCTGCGCGGAATGAAGAGGATTGCAAAACCAGGGCCCCTGGGCCCGACAGCTGCCAGTATTTCTTGCGCCGCTGCCTGGGCATCCATGTTTCCGGACTCCACAACACTGCTGAGAGCTCGCAGCTTCGTGTTGCACCCTCTCGTGGTGTTGACAGGCCGGCGCGAGCTTCTAGCACGAACAGACATCAGGCCGCCAGCAGCAAGTGCAGCAGCGGCAGGTGTAACCTGACCTCGCACGGCGCGTTGCTGCCTAACATCAGGGGAAGTAGGGATCGCTGCTTTTTGAGCAAGCGAGTCACTTGCCTGTGGAGGCGGCTGTTTGAAAGCAATTGGCACAAGGCCGATGGAGGCCATCATGCTAAAGACTCCATCAAGTTTGATAAGGAAGCTGCTGCGCGGTCAATGCCGTTGGATCTTGCGAACAATTGCTCACTATCGGTTCCTGGCAAAACGCTAAGCTGACAGGCAAACTATTGCGAGTGCTGATGACCTGCCATCTGGGCACACAAGTTCTGCGTCTGATATGCAAGGCTTGTTTCGTGTCGCGGTGGTGGCATCCAGTCGTGAAACACATATGTACACAGGTTTGCCCCCAAGCTACCTCAACCTGGGATTTGCAAGCTGAGATGCCATGCTTGGGGAAATCCAGTTATGAACAACGACGCAGAGCGCCTGCATCATGGCAGGTTGGAACCTCCAAAGTTTCAGGAGTTTCGTGGCCTCATGCTGCTCATAGCTGCCATCACGCAGTCAACGCCTGCATGGCTTCCTCCCAGGCTTTCCTGACCTGGAGACTTGTCTCCGGCCAGACTTGTCCTCAGGGGCAGGCTGCAAGCACAGTAAAGATTACGCTGGGGTTAATGTGTATATATATATACCCATTATAATGGGTATACACATCAACCAATATACTACTATAAATATCACTGTGATTATTACTATTGTACCCTTTTACCTGGAGAGGTTTGATGCAAAGAGGGGTACTTGCATAAAGCTCTGGCAACCGGCCGGTGCTTGAAGATTTGGTCATCTCTTGCTGCTTAGAAATAGTAATAGTAACAGTAATAATAACTGTGACAGTAACAATAAAAAGTAATACAGCAATATAGCAATTGTCATAGTATGTCACAGTAGTGATAACAGTAACAGTACTAGTTACTAGTAATCGCAAATGTACTGTTACATTATGACTCTATCCCTGGACCAGCCTGCTTGCGCAGTTAGGGCACTCAAAGCATCTGGTTTGCCTTCGGCAGTCATCTTGCCTTACACGCATCATACCAGCGCAGAGAAGTTCTGAAGCTTCTGAGCTTTTCACTATAATGCCCGTGCAGAAGCAAAGAGTCCCGATGATGGACAAGCAAATTCTTTTCTTTAGCGCAAGGAGCCCAACAGAGAAACAACAGCCTGCCGAACTTCCTCATCACGATGGTTGATCAGGCGACTGACCGAACCGCAGATTACTTCTTCGCGCCCTTTCAGCAAGCCTTCGAGGCATGTTACAGCCGCATGAACGACCATCGACATCGGATCATCTAAGCAGCGCAACGAGTCATCAAGCAATGCACCAGGGTCTTCTTCCAAGCTCTTCAGAGATTGCAGGGACGCTAAACGGACGTATGCGTCGTCATGTTTGAGATGGGCTCTGAATTCACCGCAAATCTTAGCATCGAACGTAGCGCACTGACCCAGAGCCGCAATAGCGCTCGACTTCAGGACCACATCTTCATTGGTAGCGAGCTTCCCGAGTAAGGCCACCACGTCGGGCTGCCCACGTGCTGCTACGCTTGCTAGAACTCCGATGCCCAAACATTGCGTCTTTGTATGGATATCGTTCTCAATGACATCCTGGGTAGAGGTGGCTGCTGCCACCAGCCACGGGACGTAAAGCCAGAACATTCTGCTACCTTTAGCGCCTGTGCCTCTTTTCGTTGACTATTCACTGCCCTGTGCCATAAGAAAGCTATGATGCTCCCGCTCCTGTTGCTGCTCTGGCGAAGCGGCTGATGGATGATCTATGTGCTTAGCTATGAATCCTGAACTAGCAAGGTTTCTGACCTACTCCACGCCCAGGCTCCAGCAAAGGGCCGAGATCCCTGCCTTTCAGGAATCTCTTGAGGATGGTCTGGCAGCTGACCTGCGTCACTGGCCCACCTCGTCGCAGGCCTCGAATCAAATCCTGAGCACAGCACCTGTGAAAGTCTTAGCCTTCAACATGCAGACCTTACAGCAGTGGGAGAGACATGGCGAAAACAACAAGGCGCTTTTTGGAGATCTGCCGGCAGCTCGTACCTTGCGACAATCTCCAGCAGTGGCGGCCTGCAGCGCTCATCGCCAGACACCATTTTCTTGCACAAGGCCTGCACGCTGTCAGACAGAGAATCTGCGGTGTGGCATGCAACTTGTGCGCAAGCGCATACCTAGCCTCACAGCATCCTGCTCAACTCTCGCGGGCCTTGGCAGCCAAGCCAATGGCCTCCTGAGCACCGGAAATGTCGGCACTGGCAGCCGGTCCAACAACGTCAACTGCGGTCATGACCTCGAGCTGCAGATCTGCACAGCACATACACACATGCACCAACTCAAAGAAGGCCAGGCCATGTCTCCTAGCGCATAAGCAAGTAGCAACTACTCTGCGGACCCTCCTGCCCCCCGAGCCTTTGCCTTGCAGGCTTGCTTGCTCGCATTTGACCGCCGGAAAGCTTAAAGCCAAGTCGCGGAGGCTGGCCACTCGTGGCTCTTGAAGTGGTCAGCCTGTTTCAGGTAGCCTGAGCTCAAGCTATGCTGCACTGCACACTTCTTTCCTAAATGACTCCATGTGCAACTCTGCTGGGCTGCGCTTGTGCCCAGCCAACGATGGACAAGTGATCCAAGAAACGCAATATGGTGGCGATGAACTTCTCATCATCTTTCGCAGCGCAGGCCGCCATTTGCTTGATGACGTCCTCTGGCATACTGTAACAATTGCCTTCTCCCTGCCACAGGCTGTCTTACATGGACGATCAATTTTTTGCTGCCCAGAAGGCACAGCCTGACCTGGCAGTCCGTGCAGCCCTTACGCTTGAGCTCGCCACGGAGCTGGTCCAGGATCTGGCAGGCAGCAAACCGTGGCAAAAGGTATCACAAGAAAGAAATGCAAATGGGTGCATCCTTCAACAGCGAAAGTCAAACGGCCTGTGGTCGAGATGAAGGCGAAAGTGAGGACAAGCAACTAGAAATCTGCAGCAGGTGTGATCCTGGGGAGTTCTCAAAAGCATCTGCATCACCTGGCAGCCGACAAGAGCTCTCCAAGACTCCTTCCGACGAGGTCACGTCATCCAGCAGTGCCTGCAGGGCAGCACTGTGAACCGCATGCCGAGACCACTGGTAAGGTAAGTCGATCCCCACCTTCACAATTGCTTCATCCTCGCGAGTGGCGACCCTGCTCAACACAGCCGCAGCTCTGGCTCGCTGAAAGGGTGCCTGCCAACGATTTAGCTCCAGAATCTAATGCTCACAATTTTAACCAGCTGGGAAGCTGCAATGCTGCCTTCTATGTCCTCCTATGCTGTCTCACGCTGCAAGGGCCGGAGGCTACCGCCGAATGGGCTTCAGGCTTTCTTCTATAGGGTAAGCCCTTCGCGAAAATTGGTTGGGGCGGGGCGGGGTGTCAGTTCCCGATATGTTCATGCCATTGTGTGGTCGGGGTTTGCCAGATGGGCGTACGTCGATTTCCAGCAGACGCACTGTCGAGAAC